GGTAAGCGATCAATAAACTACAGGTACAAGATTCCTATGCCGATATCACCCAGCTAGGTGAGGCGGTTTGAGTTTTGATTCGCTATACTGCCTCCATCAAAGCAGCACTAGGACGGTGAACGTGACAGGAGTTGCGATGTTTTGTGTCTAAGCCGCTCCGTTGGGAGTGGCTTTTTACTGGGTGCTAAGTTTGAGGGCGTTCCACGGTAGTAATTCCTCAACATCTTCTACTGTTTCACAGCTGGGCAGCTTTGTGAACAGTAACTTTAAATACGCGTAGGGCTCCAGCCCATTCGCTTTAGCGGTCTCGATGATGCTATAAAGCATCGCGCTCGCCTTTGCACCCTCCTGGCTGTTGCTGAACATCCAATTTTTTCTGCCGATCGCGAACGGGCGTATGGCGTTTTCGACGGGGTTGTTGTCGATATTCAATCGGCCATCTTTGGTATAGGCCGCCAACTTCGCCCAGTTTTTATGCAGGTAGGCCATTGCTGCCCCTGCTTTACTCTTGGGCGGCGTATGGATAAGTGATTTATCCAGCCACTTCCTTAGCTTGGCTAATTGGGGAACGCTTTTCTCTTGTCGAACTAGCATCCGCTGGTTAGGATTCTCATCTTTTATCACTGATTCGATTTGATACAGTCCTTTGATTAACGAGACTGCCATATCGGCTTTGCTCACCTTACCCTTCGCGCTCGGCGCGACTTTCTGGGCCTCAATGAACTTGCGCCGTGCGTGCGCCATACACCCAAGGTGGGTTATGCCTTCGCGTAGCCCGGTTTTGTGATAGCCCACGTAATCATCGGTTTGCAGATAGCCCTGATAGTCACCCAATAGCTCATCCACCACGCTGGCCGACCGGCTCGCGCGATAATCGAATAACACGACGGTTTGACGTGGGTCGCCCAGATTCGGATCACCGGTGCGCCGGACCCACATGTAGCTTAGGCTTCGCGCTAATTTATCAGGTTCTTTTAAAACCTGTACTCGCGTCTCGTCCATGTGCACATAACCACTGTCAAGCAAGTGATCGTTGAGTAAGTTATACAACGGTTGGAGCAATTGGGCGCCCTTGATCATCCAATTTGCTTGAGTATTGCGCGGCAGATGGATGTTCAAGCGCTTAAAGATCGCCTCCATCCGATACAACGGCAACCCGTCTTGATATTTGGCGGTGGCGATGTGCGCAAGTAACCCAGCACTGGCATTACTCTTGGGAATTGGCTGTGGCGGTAACGCCGCGATCGTGATACCCGACTCGCAGTCCTTACACGCATATTTCAGGCGCGCATGTACCAACACCTGTATCACTGCTGGAATAATATCAAGTTGCTCGCTGGTTTCTTCGCCGATGCAGCTCTTTTGGCAGCCGCAAGCACATACTTTGTCAGAGTCCACTACGTCATGCTCAACACGCACCCGGGGTAAATTTTGTGGCAGTGGTTTGCGGCCTGATTTGGCTTTCTTAGTGGCGGGCGCTTGACCGGGCTCGACCGCTTGCGCGACGTCTGGCGCAGACAAACTTACTTCAACTTCCGCTTCATCAAACAGTTCAACTTGCTGCGTATTCTTCTCGCTGCTGTGACCAAACTGGCGGTGCTTGAACAGGATGATTTGTTCTTCTAGGAATTGAATCCGTGCTTGCTTCTCACTGAGTGCTTTCTGATAGACTGCCTGCCCCTGCTGATGTTCTAATAGCTGGCTACCCTGCGCTAAAACGAGCTGTTTCAGTGCAGTAATATCGTTCGGTAAATCGTTGCTAGAGCGGGTTTTCATTGGATTGGATTATACCAAGCCCCTCACGTTATTGAGGTAT